ACTGCCCGACCCACCACCTCTGCCACTGGGAGACAAGCCAGTGCTGGTTTCAGGTGAGACTGAACTGATTTATAGCAAGATTGCACTGAAACCACGTGGGCTGTCACATGCTCCACAAGATCTCATGTGATTTCAGCAAGATCTTCTGGGAAATTGATGCAATCTTACCCAAAATCAGCACCAATTAAAAACAGCAATAAAATGCACCAAATAAACCTCCCTTACAACAGAAGGCAGTACAGTATAACAGAACTTACAGTCTGGATTTAAAACTCAGTTAAAGAGCCTGAGTACCTTAAAAGATATAAGGAAAGCACAAGATGAACCTCATAATAAGGAAAGGTATATTGTTACCCACCTCACTTTATTTGGCAGGTTAAGAGCTGGATTCAACTAAATAGTTGCACTAACAGAAGCCAAAGCAATAAAACCCACTAGTGCAATGGGACTTTCCCCAATCCTCCCTTCATACTCCCCCAAGCTTGGGGGGGCAGGAGTGATCTCTTAGCTCAACTTTGAATTCTACCCTGGGACTGGTTTTTCAGGTATTTCAATTTTCAGGTATTTTCAGGTACATCAACCAGCAGGTGATTGTAAAATCATGCTTAAAACTATCTTCCAATGCAATACAAAAGAATTTTAATCTCTGCTACAGCTCTGTATGTACTTTGCCTCATAAAGAAATGAAACAAATTGCATATATCATTGCAATGGAGCACTCTAATTACAGTAAGTGATTAAAAAATTTAATACTTTCAGCCCCATCTTTGTAATATTTAACATGGTGCTTTCTCCCTCCTCCCTTACTACAGACTGTCATTCAAACAGCAGAAGGATGGAAACACATTATTTCCATTTAAATTTGTATCAGTGTATTTGGAATGCTAATAGCAGAGAAAGTGCAAAAAGCATTCAAATAATCTAATTTCCTTAAAACTGCAAGTGTGCTGGGGACAGATGGGGCATGCTTATATTAATTACGCTTCTGCAGCCATGCATATAATTATGGGGTTAATTAAAAGGCAACTGTGATGTACACATTTTGCACTGTGCTGATTCCAGTTCAGTAGAACACCGAGCCTTTAAAGAGGAAGCTAGCAGCCACAGAAAAATTGCTATTTGAAATGTTGAAGTTTTTTACAGTCTTTGCAAAAATAAACGAAGATTCATTCACACCAAAGTAATTTCCCATAGTTATCTCAGGAAAGCAGATCCCAGTAATCTCTTTCAATTCTCAATTGATATCTCATTTCTGAATCATAATTCCTTCATCTGAATTAGAAAGCGGTAATTATTTATTAAATTATACAATGTATCTCTCCCTAACTTATGTCGAACATTTGGTTACGTGAACAGCAAGAGGAATGTGGAAGGGGATTCAAGCAAGTGTCTAGTGTTTAGTAGGCTACAGTATCATCTAAGTAGCATCTTCATGTTAAAAAGACTGTACGATGTTTCACTGACATCATAGGGAAACTTTCCTTAACAGTATTCTGTGGAATAAAAACAACAACCTCTTGAGGTGGTAGTTAGGGTGAGAAGGGTTTTGGTGAGCAGATATGGAATTGTGTGAGCTTGGATGGAAGAGGACACCTTTCTCCCCCTCCCCCTTTTTTTTGGAAGCGGGGGAATGTCTCAATCGGCTGCCATAACAACTCCTCTGACCAGAATTTAACTAGGTCATCCACTTGCATCAGAAAATGGACAGTAATGGATAGGAGGAAGCATGAGATGAATCTATTCCTAGTGTTTATCACATTTGGCAACTCAGTGAGTTTAACTCATTTATAAGAATTCTTACTGCACAAAGACCAGAAATAAACTCCTTACATAAAGGATTATAATATCCCATCTGTGCTTTACTCCTAACAACTCTCAGCATCCATAACAAACTACAATCCTCAGTATTTTGGGGATAAAGTCACAGCTATTTAAAGTGGTATGATAATGTTTTAAATGTATTAATCTACACCAGTTCTCCCAGACCTGGTGCCTTCTGTATGTTTTTGGCCGTAGCTCCCATAGGCCACAGACAGCATGGTCAATGGTGAAGGAATGATAGGAGTTGTAATCCAATGCTCCTGGAGGGCATCACATTAGGAAAGACTGGTCTACATTATGCATTGCCCACTTAAGCCATACTCAGACATTTCAGCAAAAACACATGGGATTAAACTGGGAAGAGGGGGGGACTAACAGAGAGCCGCACCCCAATGCCCCATGTGCTGCTGCTCCACTTCATACCATTACTCATTTAGTGACCAAACATGCTTGGAAGAGTCCCTACAAATGAGACCTGTGAGATTATACACCCTCACTTAAAGGTGCATTCACACGACAGTTGATTCTGCTTCCCTAATTGTTTATGTCACGTGATGTAAAAGCCACTTCTAGAAATCTAGCAGAATATAGTAGATGTTTAGTGCTCATTTCCATGTTCATTGTTTCCAGAAAGCGTCTGTTTGCAATCCCACAGAAAACTGTGGGAGAAAAATGACGAAATTTGAGGCAGTATGCAAGAATACCTTTCTTTTCTGTAATTTCCGTGGGTGAATCGTGGGGGAACGGAAACATGCATGTGAAGAAAGCATGGGGGAGTAGTGATGTTGTCCAATGACATTTGTCATTGTGCGGCATCATGTGCCACAAATTTAATGTGACATGTTGGTATAGTTGTCAACAAGCCACAACTCCATAATGCAACAGGTACTGCAGTAGAAAAGGGCCATTAGAAAATGGGGTGGAAGCATTATCATTATAATCAGGAAAACTAACACAATAATCCCCACATCTGAGTGCGCCCTTAATCCCACTCATGTTCACTCAAACACCTGAATAGGCTTTATAAGTTATGCATGGCAACTTTTCCATGTTGCAGACATAATATGTAGTGCAAGAACACACTGTGTGAAACCTCTGCGGTGTGAACTTCTGTGCTTCTGTCTAAACTTATTGATTACTTTTCAATATGGTGCTGCCTGCAAGCATGTTACTGAAATGACCCCTTCTGATGTGTGCCTATATACATGTATGCAAACATTAAAGTGTAAGGACTTGCATATGCTTATCTCCGCCGTAACACCAATTTAGCTCAATAGCTAAATTATGTCTCACACATATATGAGCAATAAGTGAAATAAATAATCTGTATCCCCTCCCCACATGGCTGGGGCTCCAGAAGAGAAAGTCTGAAGGTACTAACTGAATATGAATGTAGCTGGTAACTCTGAAGCTTAAAGGTTTTATTTTATAGGAAGTAGTACACTTTACTGACTATTTTTAATCCCCATAAACACTCAGTGTATCCAGTAACAATGACCCTTATGTGGAAGAAATTAAGCTGCTCTGGATTCAGACTCACTGTAGCTTTGTTGCTGTGGCATTAATCCCGCAAAACATCCCCTGCCTTTTTGGTTTCGTTCATCCCCTGGACAACCACATTATATAAACAAACTCCTGCTCCATTCCCACTGATGGAAAATTGGTCCATACCTACGATGCCAGAAGGCCTCCATTGATCAGCTGCCAAAAGTACAAAATGGTGTCAAAGCATCTCTTAGAGGCTGAATGACAACATCACAACAACCCAGTACTACAAACTGTAAGTACAAAGATGTGTTACATGCATATGCCAGGGATTTACAAAGAAGCACTCTTGGATTTATTTGTCTTTTTGCCCATGGCTCAGTTTTTCACTCTGTTTCTTACTAATAGTGGAAACTGCTACCTGTGGAAATCAAACTGCATTTTACTACACATGTTATTTAAAACAACAACTCTGATTCTTAAACTTATATTGCCCCATTTTACATTCACGGTAAAGAAAAGCGTGGCAGGATTTACTACTGGCAGGGGCGGGGAACCAAACTATGGTAGAGAAGTGTATAGAAAAAGGATTCCTATTCTTAGCCAGTTCATGATCAATGCTGAATACCACCTGTGATTAACCAACACTGTGGACACTTGAACAAAAGACCACAAAATAATAATCAGTGTATTATTGGTTCACCATTAGGATGGTCCATCATTGGACTGACATGCATCTGGAGTCCACACAGGTAACAGATTCTCTCTCACTCTAGGATACCTGGGTCATCGGTATCATAAGAAGAGCCTGTTGGCACATCTAGTCCAGTATCCTGTTTTCACAGTGACCTACCAGATGCTTATTGGAAGCCCAGAATCAAGACCTGAATGCAGCAGCACTCTTGCCACTTGTGATTCCCAGTAGCTGGCAATCAGAGGCATACTGCCTCTGACAGAAGGAGGAGAACACAGCCATCTTGGCCAGTAGCCACGGAGAACCTTTTATCCTCCATGAATTTATCTAATCCTATTTTGGATCCAAGATTATGGCCATCACTGCTTCTTGAAGGAACAAATTCCAGAGCTTAACTGTGCACTGTGTGAATACCATAGTGTTATTTTGTGCTATATCTTCTTGCCAAATGCTAAGGAGAATTTCACCACACATCAGAGACAGCTGCCAAGGAACCTTGGACAGCTAAACCATGGACCTTCTGCATGCAAAGCAGATGTTCTCATGGGATTCTACTAAACGGGGGAAAAGGTCCCCCACCCCAATGAACCATAATATTCAACCACATCTCTGATTTTTTTCTTTCTTTTTAAGGGTTATTTTCTAGCATTTGTAGAATCTGTTATGAGGTATAATATTCATCTCTCATTTGTGTGTGTGAGAGAGAAACTACTCTGCTCCCTCTTCTAGTGTTTTACTTTGTCCCCCACACAAGAAAAAATCCTGAGGATACCCATAGATATTTTGCCACTGATCTACTGCCCTTCCCCAGTTTCCATCACCACAGCTGCAATTTTAAATTAGAAACTTTCATACCATTGTAAAAAGAAAGTGATATAAAAATAGAGATCATCGTGAAATTCTATTTTATTTTTTTGCCAATAATTATATCTTGCAACATTTTAAAGCTCTTTTTTGTTTGAATGCAAACTCCTTCCTCCGTAACACTGCCTCGCTGTTTTTATCCTGCAGTGTCTGTGATAATCCTGTGTCTGTGAAATTGCAATCTGTTGCCATGGAAATGGATGGGATGCCACAATTGTATGTAGCACTAGGACTTCACTTCAAGATCAAGGATGAGGAGATGAGTTTCCAGAGAGCTACATCAGTGACTATATTTTTATACAGCTGTCTGGGCAAGGGTTAAATTCAAGGTGGCATGGATGCTTAGGGGTGTACAACACTGGCAAGGAATCTGAAAAAGAAATGATGGGATGAAGCTGGAAATAGATGCCTGAAATGGGTTGTTTTATGTCTTACAGGCACCTGGAATACTTGTCAGTGATCCTTATTCTTTGTCAGAACTGACAAAGTAAATGCGTGAATTTAATTAAAGCTACAATCCGAAACCCATTTACCTAGGAAACGTGCATACTGTTACACCATACAAACATTCCCAAGGAGCCACTGGGATTATATAAGTGGTTAGGGAAATTTTATCTACAGAGTGGCTTGTAGAGATGGATAGCTCAGTAGGTAGAGCATGAGACTCTCAATTCTAGGGTTGTGGGTTCAACCCCCACGTTGGGCAAAAAAAAATCCCACATTGCAGGGGGTTGAATTAGGGACCTTGTGGTCCCTTCCAACTCTAAGATTCTATGATTATATGATTCTAAATGTGTGTTGAGACAAAAACAGGAAGTGGCAGGAGAACACTTAGGTATTGTTGGAGAGTATAGTTGACAGGAACTGGGACTAGAAATGAGTTAATCTGTCCATTTCTGCATCTCCCAATTTTTATTTTTATTTTTTTTTCTAATCTTGAATTCAGTTCTCTACATTTCCACATCAGTTTGAGGGTGTGTTTTTTCAAGAAAAAGAAAAAGAAAAGAAAGTCCTTGTGGAAATTCGTCAGGATTTCAGTGCAATTTTTTCCTAACACACATTTTTGTATGCATTTTGTAGATCTAATGCCCACTTTTTGCAAAGCAATTTCTCTTAATATAGTGCAGATTTACAAATCATTTTTACTAATATTCATTATAGACATTCTTTATCATAGCACGTGGGTTTTTGTTTTTTTTTTTAAAGCAATTTATTGGGTTTTACAATAGGAATAAATGTAATAAACAATATAGCATTCGTCTTAACATAATTTCACATTTTCTTTGGACTTCCTCACATCTCCCGCTCCCACCTTCATCATTATAACATTTTGTCAGCAATTTATCATCTTATTTAAATTCTTATATCTCTTCGATATTTCATAATCTTAAAGTTCTCATAAAGAGTTAAACTTTCACAATTTTTCTTGTTTCCTTAAAAATTTCTAAGTTAAGTGGTGCTCAGTTATTTAGTCCAGCATCTTATTCAGCATTCAATCAAATCACAATGTTTTTGTAGGTAGTTCTTAAATTTCTTCCAATCCTCCTCGATTCTCTCTTCTCCCAGGTCACGGATTCTGCCAGTCATTTCAGCCAGTTGCATATAGTCTATCAGTTGCATCTGCCATTCTTCCAGTGTGGGTAGATCTTGGGTTTTCCAATGTTTTGCGAGTAGTATCCTTGCTGCTGTTGTTGCATACATAAAAATGTCTGGTCCTTCTTTGCCACCCCTTGGCTGACAATACCCAAAAGGAAGGCCTCTGGTTTCTTAGTGAAAGTATATTTAAATACCTTTTTCAATTCATTATAAATCATTTCCCAGAACGCCTTCACTTTAGGGCATGTCCACCAGAGGTGAAAGAACGTTCCTTCACACTCTTTGCATTTCCAGCACTTGTTATCAGACAGGTGGTAAATTTTTGCGAGTTTGACTGGGGTCATATACCATCTATAAATCATTTTCATTACATTTTCTTTCAAAGCATTACATGCAGTAAATTTCAATCCATTACTCCACAGCCTTTCCCAGTCCTCAAACATAATATTATACCCAATATCCTGTGCCCACCTTATCATAGCCGATTTAACCATTTCATCTTGTGTATTCCATTCCAACAGCAAGTTATACATCCTTGAAAGTATCTTAGTCTTTGGTTCTAACAATTCTGTTTCTAATTTCGATTTCTCCACCTGGAACCCTAGTTTCTTATCACTTTTAAAAACTTCTTTAATCTGAGCATAGTGTAACCAATCTCGCACTTTGTCTTTCATTTTCTCCAAGCTCTGCAATTTCCAATTGTCTCCATCTTTTCTAGTATTTCCCAATATTTTGGCCATTTGGCCTCCATATTGGGTCTTTTCAGGCCTTAGCTTCCAAAGGTGAAAGCCACCTTGGTGTTTTATTTTCCAGCAAGTCTTTATATTTTGTCCAGACATTAAACAGTGATTTTCTAACAATATGGTTCTTAAAGGCCTTATTTGCTTTAACTTTGTCATACCATAAATATGCATGCCATCCAAAAACATTGTTAAACCCCTCCAAATCTAACACATCAGTGTCTTCAAGAAGTAGCCAGTCTTTTAGCCAGCAGAACGCTGCGGCTTCATAGTACAACTTTAAGTCCGGCAGGGCAAAGCCCCTCTTTGTTTTGCATCGGTTAGTATCTTAAACTTAATTCTGGGCTTTTTGCCCTGCCAGACAAACTTCGAAATGTCTCTCTGCCACTTCTGAAAGCACTCCATTTTGTCCAATACCTGCAGTGTTTGAAATAAAAACAACATTCTTGGCAATACATTCATCTTAATCGCAGCAATTCGGCCTAACAAAGAAAGTTTCAATTTTGACCAACTGTCTAAGTCTCTCTTAATTTCTGTCCAACATTTTTCATAATTATCCTTAAATAGACTTAGATTTTTGCTGTTATGTTTACCCCTAGGTATTTTACTTTTTAACCACATTAAGTTCCGTCTCATTCTGAAACCGTTCTGACTCTGTCTCAGTCAGATTTTTCCCCAAAACCTTAGTTTTCTGTTTGTTTAATTTAAATCCCGCCACCCGACCAAAATCATTAATCAATTGTAATACTCTTTTCGTACTAGGCTCTGGCTTCTGCAAGGTCAAAACCAGGTCATCTGCAAAAGCTTTTAATTTATATTGTTTCTGACCAACCTGAATTCCTTCCACCAGCTGGTCCCCTCTAATCATGTTCAATAGCACTTCCAGGACCGAAATAAATAACAAAGGGAAATAGGGCAACCTTGTCGTGTCCCTTTTTCAATTTTGAACTCTTCTGTAACCACATTATTAACTATCAGTTTTGCTTTCTGTTCTGAATATATCGCCTCAATCCCATTCTCAAAACCCCGTCCCACTCCCATCTCTTTTAAGTTTCCCATCATAAATTTCCAAGAAATGTTATCAAAGGCCTTCTCCGCATCTATAAAAATTAAAACAGCTTTTGTATTTATGTCAGTTTGGAGAAGTTCCAAAATATCAATAATGTTCCTTGTGTTAGCAAACAAATGTCTACCTGGGAGAAAACCGGCCTGGTCCTTATGAATTACTTCATTTAAAACTTTTTAAATCTACTTGCCAAAATATCTGCAAATATTTTGTAATCCACATTTAAAAGGGAGATGGGACGGTAGTTCTTCAGTTGTGTCTTTTCAGTTTCTGACTTTGGTATCAATGTGATAAACGCTTCCTTCCACGAATCCGGTGCCCTCTTCCCCTCCATAATTTCATTGCTAACCTCCATCAAGGGTTGTATCAAATAGTCTTTTAGTGTCTTGTAATACTTGGAGGTCAGCCCGTCTGGCCCTGGAGATTTGCCAAGTTGCATGTTCTGAATAGCTTGTTCAATCTCCTGTCGTGTTATTTTAGAGTTCAGGATTGTCCTATTTTCTTGTGACAGTTTAGATAATCCATTTTTGGCAAAAAATGGATTAATCTCAACTTCGTCTGGCGGCCCTTGGGTAGATAATTTTAAAATATCTCTGGAAACACTTTCTAATGTCCACTGGGTTCTGAATGTTTCTTCCATCAACCTCTAAATTTGTAACCGTGTTTAATCTTTGTCTTCTCTTCAACTGCCAGGATAGCAGTTTTCCACATTTATTCGCCGACTCAAACGTTTTGTGTTTCATTAATTTGATCTTCCATTCAATTTCCTGATTTATCAATTTAGAATACTGTGTTTGATACAGTTTAATTTCTCTCAGAGTTGGCTGTGACTTTGGATTCACTCTTAATTTCTTCTCTAATTCTTTTATTTTATCCAAAATCTTGTCTTTTTCCTCATTTTGTGTTTTTTTCTTTACTACATTCTGTTGTATCAGGAATCCCCTCATGACAGCTTTGCTTGCGTCCCAGACGATTCTTTTTCCACCGAATTGTTCATATTTATCTCAAAATAATCTTTCAAAACTTTTTGGGCCTTCTTGGTAATTTCCTGATCTCTAAACAAATTGTCATTCATCTTCCATCTAAAGGATCCAGTTGGTAGTAGTGTCATGTCCATCTTTACTGCGTTGTGGTCAGAACAGGTCTTTGGGCAGATTTCCACTTTTCTAACCCTAGGTGCCAGGCCCATAGCACGTGGGTTTTTGTACCACTACCTGGCTGGAGAACTCAATTGCACACTATCAGAGATGAGTGAATTTCAAAAGGTAGCTGTGTTTTGGTTCAAATTGTTTAGAGAAGTTTGAATTAGGTAAGCTCTCCTTTAAATGAGAACAGAATCACATTTCTCCCTCATCTCTAGTAGCTACCACAATTCCATTCATAACTTCAGCCACCAACCATGCCAATTATGAATCAACCGGAGAATGTGGCTGTTGTGCATGTTGCCATCTAAAGTGTGGAACTAGCACATTCTCAGTAGCCCCTTCAAGCATTGAGAATCCATGAGTACCAAATGCCTGCACAAGGCTTCTGGTAGATATGTTCCTACTTTGCATGTGTAAATATTCTGCCCTGCAATTATTCTGGAAACAGCTGCCCTACTTATATCCCCTGATCATCTAGCTTTATATGACAAGGTGAAATAAAGGAACTGGGAGTTGGCAAGATAGAAAGTTGATGGCCACATATGTGTGACTTGGCGCACATTCTTTCATGTGATACATTCTTTCACATAGATCTTGGTCTAATTATTACCCGGATTTGTCTAGGATTGTTGAATGAACATATGACATCATTTAGGATTAGCCATTTGAATCAGAAGCTAATCTATCTCTGATTCAAGTCTGTCAGATCTCATTTAATGATTGGATTGCAGAAAGAATATGTATTGAGGAAACCTTAGAAGTAGAATCTTCTCTTATTGATCTAGAAGCAGATTAATTTTCTGCTGATTCTACAGCTTCCTTCTCAATTAAGGATAATGGAGGATGAAAGAGACTGTGATGAGAAAGGAAGATAATCTCATCCCATTATCAATTCCCTTGGATATCAGAGTCTCTAAAAACCTTCACCAGTGCTCTGCCATGTAGGTAGTGGAGGAAAAGAAGAAGGAAAACAAGGGCATCATGACAGCATAAAATGGAGCAATAAAGGAGTCTCTATACAATTACCTGAGAGTTGAGTAATTTATAATCGTGCCCAGGTGAGTCGAACGAAATGGATGAGGGCTGATAGTGCAGTGGGTGACAACCAGAGACCCACTCCAGCTAGCAAGCAGGTAGATAGGCAGGCTGCTGTGGCTAG